TGCATAACAATCCCCACACTTTGGGAGGCCAAGGTGGGAGGATTGCTTGAGTCTTAGAGTTCAAGACCAGCCTGGGCAACCTAGCGAGACCTTGTCTCTTCTAAAAATAAGAATAAAATAAGCTAGGCATGGTTGTGCACACTTGTAGTCCCAGCTATTAGGGAAGCTGAGGTGGGAGTATCGCTTGAGCCCAGGAGTTGGAGCTTGCAGTGAGCTGTGATCGTGCCACTGCAGTCCAGCCAGGGCAATGCAGTAAGACCCTATCTCAAAAAAAAAAAAAAAAATGTAAGCTCCACAAGGAAGCAGTCTTTATGTGTTTTAGTCACTGATGTATTCCATGCCTAGCACTGTAACACAGAGCAGGCAGTCAGTAAATACTTGTTAAGTTGAATTCCAATGTGGCAAACATGACACTTGGTCTCACCAAGCTGCACACTCCTATTATCCCCATCACCCTGGATAGGTTGGGAGTCATAAGCTGAACCACTGGAACTGGATTTCTCTGATGACATCTGTGAGGTATGGAGGCTGATCATGGCTCACAATGTTGCTTTAGGGAGTCAGTGTTCAGCTTAGCCACAAGCAAGATCTCAGCACTCCTGCAGCACCAGGGTCAACTCTGCACCAGATATGAGTGGTTTGATAGTGATTAAGTCATATAGTCTCTTGGACTTTGGTTTAATCACCTCAAAAATAAGGATGATGCTTTTTTCATTGGATCAGGCAAAATATCTGTTATAGATGATTCCCCAGCACCTGGCTGAGAATCTGGCACAGAGTAGGTAGGCAATAACTTGGTTGATTATAAGGAAAAAATGAGATGATGTTTGTAAACTTATGTAACCATAAAGCACTTGGCATAGAGCCTGGAAAATGGTAATCATGCATTCATTCACACAACAAATATTTACTGAGCACCTACTACGTGCCTGTCAATAACTCAGTGACTTGTGTTGGTCTGGGAAAGGGAGAGACTTTCTGTATAAGTTGAGCTCAAAAGGCTGCCTGGGCTAGGCATGGTGGCTTACGCCCATAATCCCAGCACTTTGGGAGGCCGAGGTGGGAAGACTGCTTGAGCCCAGGAGTTTGAGACCAGCCTAGGCAATATAGTGAAACCCCATTTCTACAGAAAAATATAAAAATGAGCTGGGAAAGGTGGGGCATGCCTGCTGAGGTGGGAGGATCACTAGAGCTCAGGAGGTAGTGGCTGAAGTGAGCTGTGATTGTATCACTGTACTCTAGCCTGGCTGACAGAGTGAGACCATGTATTGAAAAAGGAAGGCAGTCTGAAGAGGGTGACATCTCTCATAAGCCAGTCTGCCTCAATATCTGCACAGAAGACTGAGCAGGCCAGGCAGGTGGCCTTCCCCTCTCATTGGCCCTGAAAGAGCTCTTCTCTTCCAAGTCAGCCATGCAGATCAAGACAATTGAGATCTGGGACTCATCCTCCCAGGACTGCCCTCCCTCTCTGATATCTATGTGGGTTGCATACACAAAGCAAGCAAATTTCATAAGTGCTATAGGCGTCTTCAGTGCAGGCTGGGACCTGGGGTCCAGGGTTTCTGACATGTCTGCTCACTGCTCCACAAGTGCTTTGGCTTTAGGAGAGGAGGACCAGGAAGGCTTAGGTGTCAAGGTCTATTTGCTCTTTCTGCCACAGTTGCCACAGCTCAACAATGTGTTCACAACATGTGCCCAGCTGTGTGCAAAGCAGTAATGATGAAATCAAAATTAAACTACCTCTGAGGGTTGGCGATGATAATATCAATTAGTAGTAGTAGCAATAATAGTAGTATTAATAGTAATAGTAGTTGCAATAGCAGCTTACACATATGTCGCACCTATTATGTGCCAGGCATATGCAAAGCACTCAGTTTACCTTTCACCTCACAATAACTCTTTGAATTGTTAGCCCAATTTACAGATGAGGAAACTGAGGTTCAAGAAGGTTTAGTATCTTGCCTGTAATCACCCAGCTAATAAATGCCAGAAACAGGATTCACCCTCAGCAGCTCAACTTTGGATGTCATCTTTTATGATCATTTGGCAAAGGGTCTCCTTAAGTATTATGGTGTATCCAACTGTGAGGCTGAGCAAGATACCCAACCTCTCTGGGCCTCTGGCTCCTTCTCTATAAGAGTATCAAATGCTCAGTCTTATTGGGAGGTGATGAGTTGATGTATGTAAAGCCCTTATACCCATGCCTAGTACATGATGAGGGCTCAAAAGTATTAGTAATTGTTGTCGATGTGATCAAATAGCCTAAGCCTAAGGACTCCAGGCAGAACCTATTGTTTGTGAACAGCTGGAGAACATTCTTCAATGGTGTTTTTGGCATCTACTTTAGGTTTATGAAGATAAGGAGACCTCACAATTTCTGGGAATACCATTCTGCTTGACACTCTGGATTTCTCCCTGAACCTGGTGGGTGGGGCATGTGCGGAATCCGGTAGACTATCTAAAGCCTGAGCCCCATCACTTACAAGCTGTGAGTCGTTGCACTGGTTATTCCACACCCTGAGCCCCAGTCACGCTCCCTAGAAAAGGGAGATAATGCTGCACACACTCACATGGTTGCTGTGAGGACTATGGGACAACAACTCTGAGGGACACTGGATATAAGACCTAGCATAAATTCTCAATAAAAGGGGATTATTTTGATAGCACATTAATCATTGTTCCTAGAGGCATTATCATTGGCAGTAAGGATACTGAAATTCAGGTGACTTTTCCTGCTCTTTGGTGGGTGGGGTGAGGAAGGATATCAGACCTAAATCACCAAGGAGCCCACCCTCTTCCTTCACTGCATCCTTCTCCACAACAGCCCTTTAGATACTGCCTTAGCACATACAGGAGCTGAACTCTGCATAGCTGGGGTTTCCCAAATGTACCCCATGACACCAAAAACCAAGCTTGTTGTAAAGAATACAGGCTTGTGCAGGTTCCTAGGAGCAAATTGAAGGACTATGTTCAATCCTTACTGGAATCGAGAAGTGAATTTTCATGATGCTGGGAAAGAAAAAAGGTAGCCTTAAAAATTCCTTATTGGGAAAAGTAGAGGGGAACATGAGGAGCAAACTGTTTAAGAGAAAGAAAGAAAAAATTATCCACTCTGCCTGGTAAGAAGGCTTCTGGCAGCTCTGCAGCTCCACCAAGCTAATTCAGCAAGAGCTGACCCTATCAGGTGATCAAAGTCTGGAACCATTGATATATACACAATAAATGAAATGACACTGCAAATCATGATATAATGCTATCATCTATGGTCTCAGACTTTATGGCCACAGAATACTGAAAATAATCAAAAGTGGTGAAGGTCAAGGTTGGATGAGCTCTTATGCACCCCCACCCCCAATGATTGGGGCAAGTGTCTCCTTAGAAGCTGACTGACCTGAGACCTTTGGATCATGTATGCATCGTAGCTGGACCAGTGGTACTTGGCTGTAATATCTGGACTGTAGCCAGCACCACAAAAGCATGGTATTTTCAAGCTCAAGGACTGTTTCTTAGGTCTGTAAACCTGTGGGAGAAACCTATAATGGTTAGGTGCAGGAGAGGAGGGTGCAAGGAAGGAATTAGGGAAAAGCAAAGAAGGATGCTCATTTTGACTTTCTGTGGCCAAGTAGGTGGAAAACCCAGTGTAAAAGATGCACAGCTCCAAAAAAAGAGGTCAGGTGTAAGCAATCTCCGACCCCTGAGGCCAGCATTAGCAAGGCATACCACTCTGTGGAATGATCCCAGTGTCTTGCAGTGACTGGGACTCTCCCTCTACAAGGACAAGGTGCTCAGGCACAGTAGCGGTCTCTCTCTCTCTCTCTCTCTCCCTCTCTCTCTGTCTCATTCTCTGTCCCTCTCACTGTCTCTGAACAAGGCAACCCCATGAGAAATAACTCTGGTGCAGGGCCAATGTATGTCTTTTCCTTCCTGAGAGGGAAAAGGGTTAGTCACATTGTAAGCGGAGGGGACTTAATCCTTCAGGCTTCCTTTCCACTCACCTTGCCCATGGTGCTTGGCACAGATCACTCTAGCAGGCAGAGAGCCTGCCCCAGGGACTGAGTCAATATGGAGGCACTCTACATGGTAACTGTGTGGCCATTAGAGAGCTTCAGAGCCACATATGGCCCTAGGTAAAATGTGGTGGCCACCCTGCAAGGCCATAAACCATTGAGCTGACTGAGTTTCATAATGAACTCGAATCTTAGTGAATATCTTTAATCGTTGCTTACAAGAGTCACCAAGTAATATGAGGAAGATAAATATCTAAAGATTTCATGGATGATTTCCCAATATGCTTCACATGTAATTATTTCCATTTAAGCCACTTCCAGAAAACCTCCCAGAGAGCAAGGAATTTTCTGCACAATTTAGAACTATGCCCCTGCTTCCGTGTCCCTCAAAACAAATACAGTGGCCTAGAGGGGCAAAAACACAGGATAATGGGGCAAACAGGTGATTTTAAAAAAATAGTGTGAATTTAATGGCTGGGTAGTCTCTAAGCATAGTCTGGCAGTGCTAGAAGCTGGGAGATGCTCCTTGGCTGAAATGTATCGGAGGAAATAGTCAAAGAACTAAAGTTGAAAGAATAGAGAGAAAGAAACCTAAAAACCTGGATGAGGGCAGTTCTTTACAGGGACCAGAAAGTGAGCAAGGCAGAGATAACAGGTCCAACAGGAAAGAAGTTTGCCCAGAATTTAATTATAAGTTTCTAGAATTTAATCAGAAGTCAAACAAAGTCCACTGGAAGAAAGAAAGCTGAGAGCTACTTTTGGGGAGATGACGCTGACACAAAAGAAAGGAAAACAGCACTGGTTGCAAACCACACGATCCCAGCCACATGCACATAAACACAGAAAAACAGTAAAATGCTGTTGCAGCGACAACTGGGTCCATTGCACTCCTACCTGGTTTTAGCGGCTTGAGCCCACAGGATGGACATGGGAAATGAAGAGTGGCTAAAATCCAGAGAAAGCCCACAAAGCCCCAAACCCAGTAAAACACACCTGTCTTGCAGGAGGCCCCACCTGCTGCTTTAATTGATGTACTAGTCGGTCTTTTTCTCGCTTGAGGGCCATGACTTCTTCCTGCGTCTTTTTCTTTTTGGAGGCAGACAATTCCAGCAAGGCAATGTTTGCATCTTTTTCACTGATGGCTGCAAGTAGCGCTTCCTGTCTGGTAAAATAAAGATTATTGAGATCATTTTTGTAAAATAAAAAACCCCAAACAATTGGCATTTATAGTTGAAATGAACCACAGAGTATTGTCTCAATGGGAAGAAATTATGAATAATACTTAAAACGAACTAGCACTTTGGCTTTCAGAATGGACAGAGTAGTTTGGGTCAGAATCCCTGAGACTGCACACTGCAGCCACTGAGAGAGGAACCTTTTAATGGCTTCATAGATGTAGCCACATATTAGAAATGGGAGGGGACAAATCTGAGCATTCATTGCCGACACATTTATCCACCCATCCATCCAAACATACATACATTCATCTATCCATCCATCAGTTTGCCAAGAGTCTTAGTCTGTTTTCTGTTGTTATAAAGTAATACCTGAGACTGCATAATTTATAAAGAAAAGATGTTTATTTGGCTGATGATTCTGGAGATTGGGAAGTTTAAGCGCATGGTGGTAGCTTCCAGCAAGGGCTTTTGTACTAACATGGCAAGAAAAGTAGAAGGACAAGTGAGCAAGTGTGAAAGAGACCACAAGATCAAGCAAAGCTTGCTTTTATAACATCTTGCTCTCTCAAGAACTAACTCACTCCTGAGACAAGAGAATTAGTCCATTTGTGAGGGCTCTACCCTCATGATCCTCATGATCTAAGTACTTCTTAATGCCCCTGCCTTTTAATACTGTTATGTTGGTAATTAAGTTTCCATCATATGAACTTTTGGGGGATATATTCAAACTACAGCACCAAGTAAGGTTCTAGATACTCTGAGAAAACCCCCAAAACTGGGTAGCAATTTCACCTATTACTTTTTTCATGCAAGATTTTCTTTTGAAGGCAGACAGAGATATTTACTGGAAACCCTGTTCTATTTTCAATGCATTTAGTGATGCTCCCTTGCCATCCCACCAAAAACAATTACTTCATCTGCCTTCCTTGTTTCAGTAATTACACTACCATCCACTAAGCAGCACAAATCCTGAACTTAGAAGTCATCTCTGAGTTCTTTCCTTCTTTCTCTATCCAGAGCCAATCCACTGACAACTTCAGTAGGTTTTACTTGAAAGTATGCCCCTTATCTAAACTCATGCACTACTATAAAAACATCAACCAACCATCAGCATCACTCACTGGGGACCACTACAAAAGCTTACTCATTGATCTCTCTGGTAAAGAGAGTAAAGTCATCTTTCAAAACATTATAAGCCCAGATTCCACCATTCTATTGTGTAAAGATGCATTGCATCACTCTTTAGACTTGAAATCCAGACCCTTTATTGATGCTTGCAACACATTACACTAACCAGCACTGACAACCTCTCTGAGGGCCTCTGTTCCTCTTCTCTTTCCTCAATCATTGGGCTCCAGTGCATTTCGTTCCAGGTCTCTGCTAGTCCTCGGAAATGTTACCCTTGGCCCCTCACGTCACAGGCTTCACCTTTCTATGCTTTTGCTTCACACAGCTCTTATCTTCCAGGTGTGTGACTGACTACTGACTTAGACTGCCTCATGTCCAAGTCGGTCACCTGTCACATTACACTACTTCATTATTTTATAGCACTCTTTGTCACTTGATAGCATCTTATTTATTATTTGCTTTGTAGACTTGATGCTCCATGAAACTGGGACCTCTATCTATCTTGTGCACCACCAATTCTCAAGCTTCTAGAAGATCCCTCAGCACATAGCGGGTGCCCAAAAATGTTAGTTCAAGGAAGAGGAAAGTTCATTTTTTACTTTTTACAGACTTTTAAAGATATCACCAGACACCTCTTCCTCTCATTTTTAACTAATTAGAATGCTTTGTTTCCTGCTTAACCTATAGTCATCACTTATTCAGAGAAGTTTTAAAGTTGCCTCCTTCAATCTTTACGGTATAATTTTATGACCACATCTGTCACAAATTTTAACCTAGAATTTTCTGGGATGATTTTTGAGTAGGAAATAGCTCTCCTGGGTGTGTTTCATTGAATCCTCCTTTCCTCTGGGAAAGTCTTATCCCCACAATTTGTGTCTCTTCTGAAACATTCTAGCTACTTTCGAAGACCCCACAGCCCCAAGGAAGCCTCCACACTGGGAACTTCCCTCACACACAACGCCCAGGACTAAAACCTGGTCATGATCCTGTTTTGCCTTTCTTTAATCCCCATCACCAGACCAGGCCCTCTCCAGATGTTTGGACAAGGTGGTCATTATTTGGATCTCAGATTATTCCCCTTTTCACTGCAGGGATTTATATGGAGTTTTCTGGGCCCCACTAATGCCTGGCAGTAGGAGCTTCTGTTTGAAGCTCACGCAGATGTGTGAGCAGCAGAACATGTCAGGAAATATCTCCATTTTCCAGAAGAAAAGCAGGGCAGGCTGGACTACCACCAGCAGCATTAATATCCAGCTTCACAGAGCCTGTCTGCTTTTGGATAACAGCTGAGACAATAGACATGCTTGCGGCTCCCAGCCAGTGCATATTTATACAGAGGGTGAAGCTGAAGAGGCTATACAGACTTTAAATCAGGGAGAGTCTATTTGCTATCTGCTATTCCAAACTTTAGCTACAACGCACAAGGTGACTGCAATATTTTATCCCCTCTGTTACAAACTGAAATATCTAAGTGAAGCTTTTTTAATGAAAACAAACTAAAGGACCGATATTAGGAAAATTGGGGATTGGAGGTAAACTGACTACACCTCTACAACTGCATCTTTACAGACATATGCAGGTATTTAAAATGCTGATTTAAAAACCTTAGTGACGTGAAAATATTTATGTTTGTTGAGAAACAATTCTCTGCGAGTGAGTCTGTCATGTTTCTGTGCATTTTACAAGCACAGACACTATTTTCTTTTCTGATAATCTTTCAAGGCCGTTTGTATAGTGACTAGCTTTGAAAGACAGAGGTGGTTTTTCTTTTTGGATCAAAGGGAAGACATGCTTACTGCCCCATATAATAGTGTCTCCTTCCAGAGCAAAGGGCAGGCAGGCATGTTACTGCCCATTATAAAATATTCAGATTCTCTGATCTCAGGGTTGCCCTCCTATAATACAAATGACTACGTATGTGTTCATCCAGTCCATCCGACTGGCCTCCATGGGACTTGGAGCAAGGAGAATTGACACAAATACAGTAATTCTTCACTCTGTGCCATGAGCAATAAAGTCCTTTATCTTTGGCCCAGAAGCCTCTTGTCATCTGCCTGCATCCATGGAACTGAGGCAGGCTAACCTGTTAGGATGCCAGTAGGGAAGATCTTAGACCCTTCATAGTTCTCGACATACAAATGTATATCCAAAATGATCCCTAAAACATAAAGCTATACAGATAGGAAAAAACAGGGACAAGAAGGAAGTATACCAAAATGATAATAATCACCATTTCAAGGTGACGGGATGAATGAGGCATTTGTTTTTTTGTTTTTTTGTTTTTTACTTTTTTCTGCTTATACTCTTAAGCATTATTCTCAGGAAATATCCTAAGAGTAAACATTTAAAACTTGTAAGTTAGGCTTTCGGTCATCAAGTAAACTGCAGGTACATGGTTCAAAATCTTAGCAGGTGTGTAATTTGCTCATTTTCCCACCCAGGTTATCTATGATATGTTCTGTCTGTCCTTCCATTCTTTATGCACAGATAGGCACACACACACATTTTCACACACACACAATGTCTGATACAATCTACATCATCTACCACTTCGAAAACTGTAGTAGTCTCCGAACCAGACTCCCTGTGTCTACTTTCAGCCTGCTTTAACCCATTTTCCCTTTCTAGGTCAAAATTTGAGATTATATAGCTTTAATAACTGTCAAAAGTCATCATCAATCCGAACAATAATCATTTAAAAAAATATTTTACTTTAAGTTCTGGGGTACATGTGCAGAATGTGCAGGTTTGTTACATAGGCATATACATGCCATAGTGGTTTGCTGCACCCATTAATCCATCATCTACATTAGGTATTTCCCTAATGCTCTCCCTCCCCTAGCCCACCAACCCCCGACAGGCCCCAGTGTGTGATGTCCCCTCCCTGTGTCCATGTGTTCTCATTGTTCAACTCCCACTTATGAGTGAGAACATGTGGTGTTTGGTTTTCTGTTCTTGTGTTAGTTTGCTGAGAATGATGGTTTCCAACTTCATCCATGTCCCTGCAAAGGACATGAGCTCATCCTTTTTATGGCTGCATAGTATTCCATAGTGTATATGTGCCACATTTTCTTAATCCAGTCTGTCATTGATGGTCATTTGGGTTGATTTCAAGTCTTTGCTATTGGGAACAGTGCCGCAATAAACATACATGTGCATGTGTCTTTATAGTAGAACGATTTATAATCCTTTGGGTATATACCCAGTAATGGGATTGCTGGGTCAAACGGTATTTCTGGTTCTAGATCCTTGAGGAATCACCATACTGTCTTCCCAATGGTTGAACTAATTGACACTCCCACCAACAGCATAAAAGTGTTCCTATTTCTCCACATCCTCTCCAGCATCTGTTGTTTCCTGACTTTTTAATGATTGCCATTCTAACTGGCATGAGATGGTACCTCATTGTGGTTTTGATTTGCATTTCTCTGACGGCCAGTGATGATGAGCTTTTTTGCATACGTTTGTTGGCTGTATAAATGTCTTCTTTTGAGAAGTGTCTGTTCATATCCTTCACCAATTTTTGACGGGGTTGTTTTTTTCTTGCAAATTTGTTAAAGTTCTTTGTAGATTCTGGATATTAGCCCTTTGTCAGGTGGGTAGATTGCAAAATTTTTCTCCCATTCTGTAGGTGGCCTGTTCACTCTGATGATAGTTTCTTTTGTTGTGCAGAAGCTCTTTAGTTTAATTAGATCCCATTTGTCAATTTTGGCTTTTGTTGCCATTGCTTTTGGTGTTTTAGTTATGAAGTCTTTGCCCATGCCTATGTCCTGAATGGTACTGCCTAGGTTTTCTTCTAGGGTTTTTAATGGTTTTAGGTCTCATGTTTAAGTCTTTAATCCATCTTGAGTTAATT